ATATGCAGTGTATTATTTGTTGAAACTGTACTTCCGATTTGATTTGAAACTGTCTCATTGCTATCTGTTTATCAATAAAACTTTGAAAAAAATATGTACAATTAACAAAACTCAACTAAAAATACTGCATTATATACTTTGTTTGCTAAGAGCATAGATTTTTAAAAATAATTTTATTGAGAAATATCAATGAGAGTTTCACAACCGATTACTGGCACCTTTATAGTAAATAATACATTGCATATTGTTGTCTTAGTGGTTATTCATAGTACGAGATACAGACATGATATCCTGTCTCAAACACTATTACAACAAACATATCTATTCATTGAATTAAGAGAGTGGAGCTGTATATCTATCCTAACTATTTTAAGTATACAGATACAAAAGGGTCTTTCATTTCTATCCCACTTTTTTGGTTAGTTTTGTCAGAGAAGGGCATTGCATTGTTATTTAAATATTGTAGGTGCTTGAATTCAGCAGAATCTCCCCATATAGTCCAGTAGTCCATAATAGTAGTAGGTTTTCCATAAGACTGGCAATGTCCGGTTGTTGATTTGAACTTTTTACAGCTCAGCATATTAATGTGGCTTTACTTTTCTGCTGGATGGTTAAGACCAAGATAGAGCAAGACCTATATAACAAGAGATGTAACTTTTGTATCTGATAAGGTCAGTCAAATCCACTCAGGATTTTTTTTTTTTTTTCGCTCCAAATGACTTCAGGGCAGGGTTGGCCTGCTTGAGTTGTAGGGACTGAACCACAGCAACCTGAGCCTGACTGCTTTGTTGAAGCAGCCACTTAAAGAACTGAGCTAAGGGGCAGGCCCCTCCACTCAGGATTTAACCTGAAACCCTATACTGCAGTTTGTAGATCCTTTGTGAATGTCAGCTATGTGGATGGGTCACGGCCAAATTGCTTGACCAATTTGCTCTCTGTGAAAGCCTGAGAGAATGTTTTCTCTCCATGTTACTCTCCTTAGACACTCTAAGTCATCGATCACATTCCTCTGTAGCCCCATAATCTCTTTGATCAGAAAATTTGAGACACAACTGAGTTACATAATGTTACAGTATAGGTTCTCCTATGTCCTGAGCCCTCACTGACCTTGAAAGGCTAGGGCCAAAATGTTGGCTGTCCCTGCAGCCCTTCTTTTTCTCTGATTTTTTGTTTGCAAACTTAGGTTGCTAACCCTCCAAAAAAAAGCTTATTTTTACCCTACAACATAGGCAGTTGGGTTTAACCTCACTATCTGTCTGAGTATCAAACATCTTAGGCATAACATGGAACAAGTATTTTCCATCAAGTATTGATATGTTAAACTTTAAGTCCCTGCAGAATATGAAGAGAAAAATTTAAAAAATAAAAAAATTTGAAAAAATATGAATAAACAATTACATAATTCTACACAGAAATTAAGAAATATAACCATATACAGCATTGTATCAGGACTGTCCTGTGACATTTTTTTTCCTGTCTCTTGTTTTCATTTATTGCCCTTTTTTTCTTAAACAAACATTTACTTGAGAGACAGTATGGCAGTAATTGGTATGTCCTGACAAGCAGTATGTATTTAGAAGACCAGAATGGCAGGCATTCCAAGCATGACCCTACCATTACACATTGCTATGTTCAGTGCAGCTGCTTAGTTCACAGTTATTAGCATATATAGTTAGTCAGGGTGAGAATCCTACCAATTAACTGCTAGTTTCAAAAACAAAGAGCGTAGATTTTAAATGTCCTCTTACACACCTCACAAGTGGTAGCTATGTGAAGCGATGTATTAAATAGCTTGATTGTGGTCCTCTCTTCGCAGTGTATACAATGTTAAATCATCAAATTGCATTCTTTTAATATCCACAATTTTATGTCAGTTTTACCTCAATAAACAGGGGGAGAGTGACACAGAGGCCCTTGAGCACCAAGGCCGTACAGGACCATCAAGAGATCAGCGTTGGGCTGAATGCCACAGTGTATACGCCACTCTGCTTATCACATGCTGACACCAGAACGATTCAGTCACTTTCACAACATGGCTTGTTTGGAAGACAAGTCTTTCAGAGAATAAAATAATAATGATGAAACTTCCTGGGCTGACTCAAACTAGGAGCTATGTACCTGAAGGATACAAGTCATAATTCCTGGGGTTCTTGGTATTTCAGGTGTCTCTAGACCAATTTCCTAAAACTGCCACCTACTCTGTCACCTTAGGAAAATCATTTATGCTTCCCCAAAATAGGCTGGTTCACCTGTAGAACAAGTCAGGGAAGTTCAGTGATTTCACTCAATGCCCCTACAGATGCTTACTTGCCCATGAGCTCGATGAAGAGGTCACATGGGGACACCCACTAATATGTTGTCTCCCCAGCCAAGTGGTATGGGAACCCACTGATGTGGGCCTGGGGTTACAAAGTTATCTCATGAAAGACTCAGCTTTAACCCACTTCACTGAAAACAAGTGGGGTCAGGGCAAGAGATAGCAAGGGGCATGCATGGTGTATCATGGCACAAATGTTTACAAATGTTGTTTTGGGAAATGCCAGGGTGTAGCAGAGGTGAGAGAGCTCAGCAAAGAGCCCACATGTACCAGATTAAAGGACTGCCATGCCAGGCCACTTCTCTTTACTTCCACTCCACTCATATCCATCTTGAACTAAGACATAATACCATTTCACCTCTGAAAATTCAGTACGAATCTCTAAAAAAAATCTATAAACATAACCCTAATATCATTACACCAAAATGGTAGCAAGACTGGCTGTTACATCTACTCATTTATATCCCCAAGAAATGGCCAGATAGCATTCTGGGGTTCAAGACGACTACTTCTCATCAGGACATGAGGGAAGTGGCTGAGAGCATCTAAGAAGCACAGATGTTAGTAAAGCAAAAGTCCTTCCTGCAAGTGATACGAATGACATACTTGTGATCAGAAGAGGAAGGTCAAATTCAGCAATTCTAATTTTGCATTAGGAAAAGAAAGGAAGTGTGGCAATGGTAGGGATAAGATTAAGAGCTGGGGGAAGCCAGGTGTAGTGGCTCATTCCAGCACTATGGGAGGCTGACACAGGAGGATCACAAGTACGAACTTAGCAATTTAGGTTTTCTTTCAAAATAAAAAATAAAAAGCAAGACACTGGAGATGTAGCTCAGTGCAAAGCTCCAGCTCAATCCCCAATACTGAATGAAAAGTGGAATGCTCAGTGACTGTACCTCCTATGTCTCATCTGTTTAATATAGTCCCACTGGCTGGAACCACCTGTGGGACATGGATGGCTGTCCCATCAGACAGCTTGTACACTGGTAGGACAAAGGGCTCTAATCACTTTCATTAGTCTCTTTACTAATAAAAACCCACCTGATAGGACAGTCATGCAGGTACCAAAAGTGGTTCAAGCAACCTGGCAGCAAGAAACAGAAATTATGACCCTTTGTACATATGGTAATCCTCCCTTGTACCATTCCTGAGGCATTATCTTTCCCCTTTCAGATGTGTGAAGCTAAGACAGCAAAACCAGCAGCCTGCCTGAGATCTCACAGGGTATCAGGGCTGAAGTTGGCACCCAGTCTGTCTCACTGCAAAGCTCACATCATACTCCTCTGCCCATACTGATATCTGGAGGAGAAAGGGAAGGTGCTATTCTGGGGATCCTTCACTGCCCCCAATGGACTGGCCCAGGAGATGTTCCCAAGCTATCCATCTACCTCTTCTCTGCTATGCTCTTTGGCCACCTCTCCTCATGACCCCAAGGCAGAGGGGGAGTCTCTACAACATGTGCCTGTGGGGAACAGGATGTGGTGGTCCCTTCAGCATTCTCAGGAGGAGGCACTCACCAAACTGGCCATCCCGTTTCACATATAACTCAATGATGCCATAGGCAATGGTAGTGGCAGTCGGTATCTCCAGCACCACACTGGTGTCCTTGACGATATTCCCATCCTCCATTGCTGACACCTGCAGAAAAGAGTACACGCTCACATCTGGGCACTCACATCTTCCCTGCTCCTTTCTGCCTCCCTGTGTGTCCCACCTCTGCCATGTACATAAGGATGCCAAGGACACAGCCTTGAAACTGAAGGGAAAAGAGAAGCCACCTGCACATCCTTGTGTAGATTCTTGCTGGCAACACAATGTATTACACAATCAGTGGCCAAGCTGGTGGCACAAAGGTCAGATTCCGGAGTATGGGATACAGGGAGGTCAGGTATTCAGTTGAAATAAGATAAGGGATGCACCACATAACTAAGCTTTGGTCAACAACAGACCACATAGAAGAGATCCAATGCCAACATAAGTAATGGAGCCCAAATTTCCTGTCACCAAGTGACTTCACAGCCATCTCAACATGAGTGCAGAATGTGTTACTTGTGTGCTTTGGTGACACTGGTATAAGCAAACTTACTGTAATGCCATCCTGTAATGATATAGTGCCTACAGTCATGTACAGTACAAAATACTTAATGACAATTACTGTCACTGGTTCATATATTTACCATACTGTACTTTCTATTTAGAGTATACTCTACTTATAAAAAATGTACCACAAAACAGCACATCATGCCACGTGGGCAGTAGCCTCATCCATCCTGCTTGGGAGTCTCCTGACAACATCAAGAAGCCTGGACACATGCCTGACTTCAACTGCCTTGGTTCATACAAACACGGGATGTTTGCAGAACAAAACCATCAGTGATGCAGTGTTCAGTACAGTTAAGTGATATGTGACCACAAATATGATAAATAGGAGGGCCAGTAAGATAGCTCAGCAGACTAAGTACCTGCTTAGGCAAGCTCAGGGGCCAGGGTTCAATCCCTGGCACTACATGCCACACCGGCCCTGCCCCCTGGCATGCCTGGGAGTGGTGGCACACACCTCTAATCCCAGCACTGGGGAAGCTAAAAACAGGAAGATGACAAAATGCAACATCTATTCATGATAAAAGCCCTGAAGAAAACAGGTATCAAGCACTGAAGAAATAGGCTTTTGGTAGGACATGGGAAAGCTGAGGCAAGAGGACCATTGAGAGTTCAAGGCCAGCCTAGACCACAAAGTGAATTGAAGCCAACCTGAACTGCAGAGCAAATCCCTGTCTCAAAAAAAAAAAAAGTCTTTTATTTCAATTTGATAAAACCCATTTATGCAAACTAATGCCCAACATATTAAATGAGAAGCTGAAAGATTTCCCTCTAAAATCAGGAAATTGCTATCACCACTTCTGTTCAACATAGTTCTCAAAACCTTAGCCAGAGAAATCTGGCAAGAGGAAAAAAAAGATATACATGGGAATGGAAAAAAATTATCCTTATTTGCAGATGACATGATCCTCTACACAGAAGACCCAAAAATATTCCACCAAAATATCCCTAGAATAATCAAATTCATTAATATAGCAGAATACAAAGTCAATGCTCAAAAATCAATAGTGTTCCTATACTCCAATAATAAACTCACCAATGAAGAAATGAGGTAAACAATACCATTCACAACAGCATCAAGGGAAATTCAATACTTAGGAATTAACCAAAGCAAGGAAGTGAAGGACCTCTACAGTGAAAACTGTAGCATTCTGAAAAAGGAAATCAAAAAGGGCATCAGAAAAATGAAAGCTCTCCCCTGCTCCTGGGTAGACGCATTCAAATGGCCATATTTCTAATACCAATGTACAGATTTAATACAATCCCAGTCATAATAGCAGCAGCATTCCTGCTAGAACTGGAGAAAGCAACCCTAAAATTTCTGTGGAAGCAGAGGAGACCCAGAATAGGGATCCTAGGCAACGAGACAAGCACAGAGGCATCACAATCCCAGAATTCAGTTCTACTACGAAGTTACAGTGACAAAAGAATCATAATATTGGCAAAACAAAAAATGAAACAAAACACAAGTGGATCAATGGGTCAGAACAGACAATGCTGAAGCAACCCCAAGCACATTCAGCTACCTGATCTGTGATCAAAGGGCCAAAGATTTATGCTGGAAGAAAGATAGTCTCCTCAACAAATGGTACTGGGAAAGCTAGCTCTCCACATGCAGAAGATTAAATCTGGACCCACAGCTCTCCACCATGTACTAAACTAAAATCAAAATGGATCAAAGATCGAAATGTTAAAACAGAAACACTGAATCTGCTGGAAGAATAAAATAGGTAAAATGATTTGACAGTATCAGATTAGGCAAGGGCTTTCTGAACAGAACCTGAGTTGTACAAGAAATAACACCAGTGGGCCAGGGATACAGCTTAGTGGCACAGGGCCTGCCTGGCAAGCATGAGGCCCTGAGTTCAATTTCCAGGACCAAAAAGAAAAAAGAGGTGGGTGGAGGGAGGGAGAAGGACAGAGGGAGAGAGGGAGAGAAAAAACACCAACAGCCAATAAATGGGATCAGCTTGGAGACACAGCTCAGTAGCATAGTGCCTATCTGGCAAGCACAAGGTTCTGAGTTCGATTCTCAGTACCCAGAAATAAATGAAATGATATAAAATTAAAAAGCTTCTGCACAATAATAAAAAAAAAACTATTCACAGAGTTAAAGACAACCTATAAACTAGGAAAAAAGTTTTGCCAACTATTTCTCAGACTGAGTACTACTACCTATAATATAGGAAAAACTCACAAAATTAGACCCTCAAACATAATCAAAAATGGGCATCTTGGAGTGAATGTCACAGAAGTACAAATACCCAATAAATATGTGAAAAAAATGTTCAACATTTCTGACCATTAGAGAAATGTAAAATAAAACAACCCTGAGATTCAATCTTATTCCAGAAACAATAGCTATCATTAAGAAATCAAATAACAACAAACACTGGCAGGGTTGTGAGGAGAAAGGAACCCTTCCACACTGTGGGTGAGAATGTAAACTAGTATAGGCATTTTGGAAATCAGTAAGGGGACTCATTAAAAAACTAAAACTAGAAATTCCATTCAACTCAGCCATTCCGCTTCTCAGCCCCAGAGACTGTAGCACATCTGAGGAGAGCCCGGGGCTGTCTGTGCCACTAGGAGAGTCTGTCAGAGGGAGCAAACTCTGGAGGAAGGCAGGCCACAACACCCTTGAGACCTAGGCCCAGCAGTGACCCAAGCCTGGTTGCCTTAAATGCCTCCATTGTAAAAGCCAATAAATGCACGCCACTTAACCAATCTGAGTTGTATTTCGGTCAATACATCACACTAAAGAGCTCTGAATAACAAAGACGCCCTCAGAAAGCCCCCAAGCCAAAAGTCTCCATGGCCTGGACAAGACTGGTGCTTCGGCCTTGCCTCGTCCACCCCCGTCATACACACCTGCACTATCTTGGTATGGATCCCTACCACGCCGCCACACTTCTCCTCAATCTGAACGTGCTCAGATATCACACACTTCTGCGTTGTCACAATCTTCTGCGTCAGGACACACAGGACCTCATTCCTCCTCTCCAGCACCTGCTGGAGCACGGGGTTTTTCAGGTTTATTGTTCTGAAAAACAAAAATGGCCATGAGTGGCCCTGTGTCTCCGGGGAGATGGATGCAGTAGGACTTTCTCCTCTTACAGAGCTGATAGCTGAGAAGGGAACAGGTGACAACCAGTTTGTTGATTTCTTGGTGAGAGAGACAGGTTGCCCTGAAAGGCATCAAGCAAGCTCTCCAGAGGCCACAGCAGATCAGCTCTGAGAGGCCAGACTGGACACCAGAGGGAAGGGGATTCTCTGACAAACAAGGCACTGGTTTCAAGGAAAAAAAAAAAAGAAAACCAACCCACAAAAGATCAACAATCCATCTGCTTTGGATCACAGGAAGGCAGAGGGGTGACAGATACCACAGCTGGAGCCCAGAAAGCATAGGAACACCATGAGGTGGGGGACAGGCTTCAACCACAAGTAGATAGGAGGAAATTAGGCTTGAATTACAAAGGAACTTCTTAGCCCAGCAGAGACCTCCAGCCTCCCCCCACTCATTCCCAGCCAGGAGAAGTTCAGCAGCATTTCAAGAACAAGCTACATTTCTATTTGCAGGAAATGAATTTGAAGAAGCAAGCAATGAAATAAGCTCTCTGGAGTCTCATTCATTGCTACATCTATGCAGTGAAAGGGAAAAGAACAAGATAAGAGGTAGATTCAGCTTGGGAAGAATCGTGTTCAGCCTGGGCTTTTTAAGCAGTTCAAGGCCAATTACCCGTGAAGCTCGGCACCCATTCCAAACCACACACAGGGACAGGGCTCCCACTTGAGAGGCACTCTGATCCTCCAGGCTCGGAAACAGGTGTCCCCCAGTTGGTCTCTGGGAAGGCTTTTCAATGTACTAACCACCTGGGGTGGATACATGGCCTACACATGAAAGACACCAAAATGTGGCCTACCCAAAAAGTGAGAAACTATTTGGCCATAGAAAGGAATGAGATTAAGCTGTAAGGATATTATATTAAGGGACAAGCTACATGTATTATGATTCTATATATATGAAATTCTAGAATAGGCAAATTCATAGTGACAGAAGGATGACTAGAAGGGGCCAGGGAGATAGCTCTGTAGAATAAGCGCTTGCCTGCCTGGCAAGTGAAAGGGCCTGAGTTCAATTTCTGGTTCCACCAAAAAAAAAAAAAAAAAAAAAGGAAGATGACTAGAGGGTTGAGGAGTAAACAAACAGGAAATAGCTGATGGCTACAGAGTTCAGCTTTGAGGTGGTAAAGGAATGCTAGAAATGCATACTAATAACAGCTGCCCAACGGCATGAATGCACTTAATGCCACTGTAACCTAGAGATGTCCCCACTCATGTTCTTTGGCTCCAGGACCACAGAGTCTAATGACTCAAGCCCTAGTCCCAGCTCACCTCAGGGCACCTGCAAAAGGACTCCCAAGATGCTCCATCTCCAGAGTGGGGGTACCAGTACCGAATCCAAACATTATCTGCACATGGCCCAGAAGATCTAGGGACATTGGTCTACAGACTTGGGACCACAGCTGCTGGAGCCAAAAGCCTTGGCATCACTTGTATGCTGTCCTTTGGAACCTGTGAAGGGTGTCATTTGGATCCCACGCTTCCAGAAAAGTAGCTAACAGTCCTACAAGCCCCATCATCAACATTATTAGCTCCAGAAAACTTAAGAAAGTCCCTTTTGCATTTCAAAACATTAAGACCATGGATACAAGTGCCACCGACCCAAGCACCATCTGTGCTCATCCTATAGGACCTGGAAACTTTCCCTTCTCATCCTAAGTATCAAGAAACATGACTGCTGTGCCGCAGACCCAGGAATCTCTCACATTCCCACTGAGTCCTGAGGAAGGGCATCCTCAGATCCTGGGGCCCTGGAGCCATGTCTGCTGGTGCCATAATGCTTACTTTTCCTTGTACCTGTATTGCAGGACCTGGGAACTATCCTATTCACATTCTACATCACCCAGACTGTGGGAGTTCCAAGCCCCAGTGCCTTCAGGCTCCAACCCTGTACTCCTAACGACACCCACCTTCGGCACCCTCACCCACTACTGGGCTTACAGGAGATCCCTCAGCAGAAATCTTAAAGTCTAGAAGAGAATAGGATAATACACTCACAGTATTGAAAGAAAAAAAAACTGTAAACCAAGAATACCATGTGCAGTAAATCATCCTGCAAAACTAAGGGAGAAATAAAGTATTTTGCAGATAAGCAGAAACAGAAAATTCATCACATCCAGACAAACCTACAATACTTAAGGAAATACTACACTAGAAATAAGAGGATAACTACAATCATGGAAACCTACAAACATGCAAAATTCATGAGAAGAACAGATAGGACTTCTGGAAAGATAGTAGAGTGGGGAGAAGCAGAGAAACAGCCTCTCCAAGATTCGGTGTCCAGATGCTGGAATATAGCAACGTGAGGAAGACAAGAAGGAAGGAAGTGGATCCCCAGGATTATTCAGGGATCTAAACAAAAACTGAAGCCCACAGAAAGAGCAAAGAAAGAGACTTCAATGAAGAAGGAGGTGGCAAGTGGAAGGGGCACCTCAAACCTGCAGACATGCAGTGACTGTGGGTGACCACGGAGGCCTTCATAGAGAGATGCACCAGTGCAATGGACCAGCTGACACAACGCCCTGCAGCAGCTAGAGTTAGTCAGGTTCAAGTGTCCACCTGGTGACTGGCTGGCAGCCATTTTACAGTGCAGCCAAATGAGCTCAGAACTTGCAGAATCTAGCAGATCCTAGTGTCAGGATGAGGCAGAGCTAAGTTCAAGAAGGGAGGAAGTCAAAGAACCAAGTTCAAACTGGCACGAAGCACACGGAGCGTGGCACACTGAAAAAGCTGATTCCAGCCTCACAGCCAGAAACCAGCCTGAACTTCAACAGAACTAAAGGTGCAGGACTTCTGGGATTATCCACTACCCTCCTATAAATTCATGGTGGTTTGTGGGATTAATCAACATGGATCTGGAGTCTGTCTGCCCACGTAGTCTAACAGTGACAGCAGAGACATTCCTTGAAATGTCTTTCCTTATTTTCTTTATTATATCATTCATTTCCTGCTTTTATTTCTGTTTTGTTTTCTTTTTCTTGATTGTTCTTATTTTTATATGAGTGTGAACACTGCTTCTAGTTTTTTGGTGTCTTGCTCTGTTCTTGTTTTATTTCTTTCTTCTCTTACCCTCCTGTCTTCTTCACCAGTTTCCCAAATTTTGAAAAATCTTCCTTTCTCCTCCAGCTTTACTTCTAATCTTTTCCTCTTATACTTCTCTATCTTTTTCCTAACCCCTTTTAAATTTTTTCCCTTTAAGGTAAAATCGCCATACTTAGGGCATATTTACTGTATATAATTATCTGGTTTGTTTTCAATATTATCATATAGCCACAAAGCTAGTGCATATGTTTAATGGTGGAAAATGAATAGTTATCACAGTTTGTCATTTTTTAGGCTGTGTTTGCACTACTATTACTACTGAGTGTGCTATGTTAGCCACAGTGACATACCTGTTCTAATCAGTTGTTTTTGGTATCCTAAGACTGAGGTTGCCTAGTGTCATAAAAAATACTACAGGCCTGTGCCGAAGAACCAGGAGCAAACAAATGTGCAGCAACTTTTCATTCCACATAAATTGAAGAGGAAGTATTTTGCAACAGATTCAAACCCAAAAGCCAGCTACAAGTGGAAGACATTTTTGAGAAGTAGTCATTTGTTAAGGGTTCTAAATACTCGCAATAAAGCTACTTTCTATAAGCAATTTATAAACATCAGCCTAGGAATTAAACTTTAAAAAATAGAAACTAAGAAGACACTTAGGCAAGGAGTAACCCAAGACTTCCAGCTCACCAAAGGCAAACCTAGGAGGCAATGAGGAGGAACAATTTTAAAGCCATCCATCTAGACTCCCTGAAGTGGTAAAAATGGAAGTAACCAAGCAGATGAATGGGGCTCTAGAAAAAAAACCTAATTAGAAATGATTTCTTAGGTAACCACAAAGATGGTAACTATAATGACAGACATAGTAGTTCTAGAACAGATACAGATAAAAATATAGAGGAGCTTAGGAAAATGATGGAAATCATGAATGCCCAACATAGGAAAGAGATGGAATCCATAAAAACAGATTCAAATAGATCTCTAGGAGATTAAAAATTCCACTGAAAACATAAGCAGCAGAATGAACCAATGTGAGGACAGAATCTCAGCCATAGCCGACAGGATTGCAGCTAGCAATCAGGAAGATAGATTCCTTAAAAACAGCAAGGGCCATGAAAAATCAATCCAGCTCTTCCCTTTTGTGGCCATTGCTGGAGTTGCAGTGGCCAAAAAGAAGTTTAATCCTTTTGTGACTTTGGATTGAAGCAAAGACCATAAAAGGCATTTCAATGCACCTTCCCACATTCGTAGGAAAATTATGTCATCTCCTCTTTCCAAAGAGGTGAGACAGAAATACAGTGTTTGCTCTATGTCCATCCGAAAGGGTGATGAAGTTCAGGTTGTGCGAGGACACTATAAAGGTCAGCAGATCAGCAAAGCAGTTCAGGTTTACAGGAAGAAGCACGTCATTGACATTGAACGGGTGCAGCAGGAAAGGCAAATGGCACAACTGGACATACACTCCAGGGAGGTGGTTGGTTACCACCAGGCTAAAGCTAGACAAAGACCGCAAAAAGATCCTGGAACGGAAAGCCAAGTCTCCACAAGTAGGAAAGGAAAAGGGCAAATGCAAGGAAGAAACGATTGAGAAGATGCAGGAATAAAGTCCTCCTGTGTGCAACTTTTAATTAAAAACTGCTAAAATGAAAACAAGAAAAAATCAATCCAACAGCTGCCAGATAATGCAAAGAAAAACAAGACTGAATGGAATCAATGAAAAAGCTGGCAATAGCACAAATGACATTTAAAAAAAAAAAACTGTTCAAAGATAGAATGGCAAACAACTTGCTAAGCAGGTAAAAAAAGAATTTGACATGCAGATAAGCAAGGCACATAGAACTCCACTTAACCATGATCAAAAATATCACCATGTGG